ACTCCTCACTATACACTAATCTCACAAATCCAATCAGCTGTGTCCAATCAGGATGAATCGCAACCACGCAGGCGCTACTTTGCTGTTTCTGATTGGTCCGTAGAAATCGCCTATTAGTAATTCATGGTCATCTGAATTATTGCGTCCGAAACTGTCAGAAGCATGCGCAGTTTCACAGAACTGTATGATAGTAGAGTTTAAACGGGATCCTATCGTGCTATCCCGTGGGCACTTTGTTGCTAAAATGTAAAACCCATTTTTTATCATTCCTAAGACCTTTGCAATGCAAAATCACTTGGTCGTCCAAAAATCGTAGTTGGAGGGGAGTGGGGGGAGCCTTTTTAAAAAAAAAAGCCAATTTTTTTTTTCATCGGTTTTCAGATCTAAGATGTGAGATAATTCATTCCTCAAATTTGCATACCCATCCGGATATCAGAAATATTTTTTTTTAATTTATAAAAATACGTCGCAGCATTGTTGTATATGGAGAGCCTTCACACAAAACCGCTTGCCCTGGACACCCATATTTTTAAAATCATTTAACTCGCTCTACCTCGAAAAGTATTGGGTCTAGCAAAAAAAGACTTTCTATAAACGTTATAGACCAAACATCAGAGAACATGTTGGTTTTTTTAGAATTTTGATTGGATAATTGGTTCACGAGGAAATTGAATAAATCGAACGGCATGTCGCGACGAACGGCGGCTAGCGCAGAGAAACGGGGAAGGGCGAGATTGCTATGCCTGTGTCAACCGAAAATCCACTCTACTGAGGGCGATGTTGATACGGTCGATTTTACCGTGAATTCACTGTTTTGTTGTAAATTCGAATGCATTGTTCTGGTAGCGCTGATTCTACTGAGATTACTAGTGATGAGTGATCAAGTTCTTGTCTATAAATCATATTATTAAAAGCGAATAATAACTTATTGCTAAGTTAACAATATTTAGAACTTACTTAGTGAGTATTAGGTACAGTTAGTATTTTTTTGTATCCTCTAGAAATGGATTTAACGATCAGCAGCAGCTCTGACAGTGAACTAGAGTCGAAAATCAAATTAAGACTTGCTTCTTTTCGTAAAACTGTCAATGGACAAGACGTTTTTATTCAAAATGTGTGTCTTATTTGTTTGGAAGGAGGAACGCTGGTTATCTCTCATGAAAAATCAAAAAAAAATTCCATTGAATTCACGAAAGAACGTATGACAAATTGTCATGATGACAAATATATGCGGCATATATTCTCAAAGTTTATGAATTAGAAAATCAAAGTTTTTTAAAATGGCACAAAAACCGTTATAAATCGTATACGAGCTCAAAGAACATTGCCTCGTACAAGTCAAAAAATAACAAACTGACAGCTGATTCTCCAGCAGATTTTTGTAGCAGATATTTTTCAAAAACGTCCCTTGCGGATACCTTTTGATTCACAAAACGGTTTGATTGCTACTAGAGCAGGGTTGGAATAAGTCATGACTTTTATGAAAAAGTCATCAAAGTCCGACTTTTTGAAATAAGTCAGACTTTTTTGAATTGATTGATTTGAAAAAAAAAACAAACAAATTTCATTTACCCAAAGCGAAATAGGAAAAAAGAAACAAAAAAGCTATGTTTTTATTCTCTTCAGAAATCTTGTAGAATAACGTCATAATTTTTTCGAAACAAAATTAAAAGTGATGATAGAATACAAAATAATAGATAAATATAGATCCATTATCATCCATAAAGTTCGTAACACATGGAGAAAAAGTTTATTAGTAGAATATCGAAACATTTTTTCTTGGAGATCTATTATGCATGTCTGATGACTACTTAAAAGTCAATTTTGACACATGTCACTTGATCAGTGGTATGGCGGTAAATTCAAAAAATTACGATGGCAAAAAGTGGGGTTGGATGGGAAGATGCCAGATGGAGTTATTTAAAAAAAATAAAAATAGCTATTTTCAGTTTTCTCAAATAATGGCTGGAAACTCCATATGTGAGCATGAAATTGAATTCTATTCAACTTGTACATCATCAACATCACTACTGTCAGAAAAAAAAATATGTTACAAAATTGAAGAATATTCGAAAAAAGATAGCTATTTCCAATTCTCCTCCAAGAATTGCTCGAAACTGAATGTGGAATAGCAACTTAATGAGAAATGTTTATGGATATTTTGTTATCTAACCCCACTTTTCGTCGCTTCATAGTATTATTTTTATTTATCACCATACCAGTGATCACGTGACATGTGTCAAAATCGATTTTCAAGTTATCGGATATGCATAATGGATCGCCGAGAGAAAAAAATTCGATGATGTGATAATAAAACTGTTCTCATATGTTATGGACTTTATGGATGGTATATATCTGTTAGTAAAAATCTCTGTCATGCTTGAAATAACAAAGTCTTGTCAAAATACGATCGAACTTTTCAGTTTAAACTAGTTAAAATCAAAGGTATAATAGTGCAATTTGTCTCATTTTTAAAAATTTTAATGAATTCATTACTTTTTCGAAAAAAGTCAATGGAATTAATTCACGAATTAAATCACTGATTTAATTCATATGAATTAATTCATGCCAACCCTGTACTAGAGTCCCTCATTCTGCAAATGCACCACGTGATATTACGATATCTCATGTTATTATTCATTCATAACTTGCCTTAGTTTTTGATTCTGTGATTGCTCCTGACAAAATACGCACTTTTGTGAATCAAAAGGTGTCCGCAAGGGACGTTTTTGAAAAATATCTGCTCTACAAAAATCTGCTGGAGAATCAGCTGTCAGTTTGTTATTTTTTGACTTGTACGAGGCAATGTTCTTTGAGCTCGTATACGATTTATAACGGTTTTTGTGCCATTTTAAAAAACTTTGATTTTCTAATTCATCAAACTTTGAGAATATATGCCGCATATATTTGTCATCATGACAATTTGTCATACGTTCTTTCGTGAATTCAATGAACTTTTTTTTTGATTTTTCATGAGAGATAACCAGCTTTCCTCCTTCCAAACAAATAAGACACACATTTTGAATAAAAACGTCTTGTCCATTGACAGTTTTACGAAAAGAAGCAAGTCTTAATTTGATTTTCGACTCTAGTTCACTGTCAGAGCTGCTGCTGATCGTTAAATCCATTTCTAGAGGATACAAAAAAATACTAACTGTACCTAATACTCACTAAGTAAGTTCTAAATATTGTTAACTTAGCAATAAGTTATTATTCGCTTTTAATAATATGATTTATAGACAAGAACTTGATCACTCATCACTAGTAATCTCAGTAGAATCAGCGCTACCAGAACAATGCATTCGAATTTACAACAAAACAGTGAATTCACGGTAAAATCGACCGTATCAACATCGCCCTCAGTAGAGTGGATTTTCGGTTGACACAGGCATAGCAATCTCGCCCTTCCCCGTTTCTCTGCGCTAGCCGCCGTTCGTCGCGACATGCCGTTCGATTTATTCAATTTCCTCGTGAACCAATTATCCAATCAAAATTCTAAAAAAACCAACATGTTCTCTGATGTTTGGTCTATAACGTTTATAGAAAGTCTTTTTTTGCTAGACCCAATACTTTTCGAGGTAGAGCGAGTTAAATGATTTTAAAAATATGGGTGTCCAGGGCAAGCGGTTTTGTGTGAAGGCTCTCCATATACAACAATGCTGCGACGTATTTTTATAAATAAAAAAAAATATTTCTGATATCCGGATGGGTATGCAAATTCGAGGAATGAATTATCTCACATCTTAGATCTGAAAACCGATGAAAAAAAAAATTGGCTTTTTTTTAAAAAAAGGCTCCCCCCACTCCCCTCCAACTACGATTTTTGGACGACCAAGTGATTTTGCATTGCAAAGGTCTTAGGAATGATAAAAAATGGGTTTTACATTTTAGCAACAAAGTGCCCACGAAAATCTATTCTAGAAGCCTTTTGCCAGTCTATTTACTCTACTATGATTTTTGGGTTCTGTGGACTTGTGCATGCTTCTGACGGTTTTGGATTGTTTATTCTCTGAACGCGAACAATCCTAGTTAGAACTGTCAAAGGTCACAGCAAAGAGGAAATCTATGGTCACAGATACTACTGTTCTGAGAAATGATGTTGACAGATCATATGATAATAGTTTTTTGGTGTGTTTGTAAAATAATTGTAAACGTAAAATAAAAAATAAAATAATTGGATGTTGTGTCGTGATAATCGTGATATGGTCGTGATTTTCAATGTGAGATTGCCAGGAAGGATATGTCGTCGTCGAGTCGTTTTCGATGGTTTAAGTGCGAATATGAACCAACAAGAACACAGGACGATATTAGTCTGGAATGGACTCGATATTAGTATTTGTTTGCTCTCGGGAGTTTTGCTGTTCGAGCAGGTATGAGAAAATCTTGTGGAAGGAAGGGGGACGTTCTATCATTCCCCTCATGTTTCTATCCGTCTCTCGTGATCCATGGAGATAATCACCCCACAGTTCTCTCAGTGAACTTTAAAAAATAAGGCTCCTATACATATTACATTCCTCAGATGAAGAATGTCCCTTTCTTCATCTGAGTTACATTCACCTCTATTAGTTTCCATAACCTATTTCAATTCATATTCATTCTGTGACAAATTTTTATCAGGATATTCGTCTCTGAAACAATCTGGCATCACTGTCTTGTTCTGACTTTAGTGAATGACGAATTGGAGAATCCCTGGGATTCCGCAGATTTCACTTGCTTCCCAGTGGCGTACTCGAATTTCGAAGCATTTTATGTTCAATTTTCAAAATGAAATTTCTCGTTAATGTGAAGACTTAGGAAAAATCTAATATTTTAGTAATTTTTGTTAGACTCTCTCATATATATGTCTTGAATATATGCACTCATTTTAAAATCAGCCTGTATATAGGGCTTGATAATTTCAATATTTAGATTAACTCATCGATAATTCAAGAGAAACTCATTGTATATTTGTTTTTGAATAACGCTTTGTTTCATTATTCAGGAATATTGTTTTTTTCTAGGAGTAGGAGTGTATATTTCGAGGATAGAAGAAGGCAGTGTAGCTGAAAGAGCAGGCCTAAGACCAGGCGACTCGATATTAGAAGTAAACGGAACTCCATTCACAGCGATTTCCCATGAAGAAGCTTTGAAGGTATGTACTTTATGCTCAACGAATATGGAACGACTCGTGTAATTGTTACATTGGAATTCCACCCATTACCCACCATCAAACTAATCATAAAAGTATCAGGTATTCTGATTTTCCTACAGCTATGAAACAGTGTATGTCTTCCTAATTTCCTCACCTGATGAAACATCTGAATTCCATGTTATTCTGCAAAATCATTTCGCTATTAGATATATGATAAAGCCGGAGAAAAAGTATAGTATAAAACTCGCACGAAACGCTAATTTCCCACTCGTATGATCAGGCGAAGGCTGCAAACTTCATACTCATGAGATATGACCATTATCTTTCCGTGGTTGTTAAACAATAAAATATTTACATACTTACTATCTGGTGTTTGATAATGTATACCTATTATTGAAACAATTATTGAGTCAGTGAATAGCAGATACTAAGAGCTACTATTATAATGTACAAGGTTGTTATTGATTCGAGAATGGAGAGTTATAATTTCAAATGAAAACTTCTATGGAGATCACCCCACTTGGTCATTTAGGTCACTGAGGGTATCTCTCATATATTAATAATAGAAACAAGACACACACTGTATGACAAAAGGAGGGAAAATGGGGAAGTTTTCTATATTGAGGTTCTTATCTCACTGTGAAGTTTGTAAAAAATTAATATATACGTATTTTTTCTTTTTTTTTTCGTAACATCAAATTTCACTTCAGAAAAAAAAAGATAAACGTGGCTCCTCCACCATTCCTATGATGTACTTTCTGAAAATCCACATTCACACAGAGTTAAAATACGATTCCCAGTGCCAGTACGTCGTTGCCGACATCATCAATATGTCTAGATTTCCGGAAATTGTTCTTTGAATGCATAATAACTATATCATACCAGCAAATGGAATATAATAGGTTCTTCAATCCTACTTTATCAAATATTACGAATAATTCCCATGAATCTCTCATTGACTGAATGAATTTGATTACTAATAAAGATAAATTATGATATTTTGCGATAGTATCTATGATTTTTCACTATCGTTATATTACAATATGTTCTTCATAACTTGTCAGTCATTTTTTCTGGTAATGAATTCGTTCCTTTATAAAACGGATCTATTTTCTAGGAAAGTTGCAAATTATATCTTGCAACAGCGCCTAATACTTCGAGTCCGTCCACACCACTCAAAATACTGACAGGCACAACAAGAGGAAGGAGCCATGGGTGTCGGCTTCATTCTGTTCTGACCGATGACTGTAAATTAGGAAGGATAGTATCATTGAATGTAGCAGATAGTGATTCATTGATTCAATGATATTTTCGTTTAGGATCGAGCTCTATTCGAGGTATTTCAATGCATAAATAGCAAAACCATAACCTGTCAGAATGAAGCCAACTACCCTCTGTATTCCTGATCCGAGTGCATTTGTGGTTATGTATGTTTTTGTGTTAACCAGTTTTACTTCTTCTTCTATTTTTTCCATTCGTTTTTCATTCGTTAGCTATTCGTTAGCTATTCGCTAGCTATATTCTTCACCATCAGCTATTTTCAGACTAGATTCAGAATGTACGTCACAGTTTGCAACCCAAACATTATAAATTGCTTTGATTTGAAAATGAAAACGACTTGGACTTTATCGGTCGCCATTCTGTACAGCGTCGACATAAAACTGGAGAATTTCGAACTCATTTTATGGACATTCATCTGAAGGCAACTTCCCCAGTCTTAATCAGTTATTCATGCATAGTTGGAGCTCTGTTGATCATGTTAATGATTGTCGAAACAAAGACAAAGACTCTCTGATTTTATATAAGTTTGACACCCTAACTATGCATACATGCTTTTGTTTACCAAAACTCACAAGTTCAGTATGATGTCCAGGTCCAGGGCCCTTTATCTCCTTTGTTGCATTTCATCTCAGTTTTACGCTAGAGTAGTTAGGACGTTAGTTGGGTGAGGTGGGTGAAAGTACGCTGTTTGATGGGGGAGGAATAAGGGGTATTTTGAGGTTTCACGGAAGATCTTTCATAGAAGCCGTCTATTTTGTTCTCATTGTCCTCTTTTATCCTATTCACTCATAAGTCTTTGGATCTATTTATACATTATTGCAAAATTGTCAATTGTAATATTCCATCAGATATTTCCGGAAAAATAATCATTATTCCATTGAATTACTCACTGAATTCTAAAGAAGAAAACAATCTTGTGAAATTTTCACAACTCAGCCGTCTTTTTCGTTTACTTGCATTTGAATTCTTTTGAGCACGTCCATAATAAAGAATATACCCTATCCAAATAATTTTCAATCCTCTTGGAGGCTTGTATATTATCCTTTTTCATGCATATGCACAATCACAATAAATCGATAACGTTGTTGGTCAACAAGTGATCCAGTGGATTACTAATTTTCTTAAAGATATCCAGTGGCCAAGAATTTTAAGAAGAGTCAGGATTGCCACAAATCATATTACCTGGTTTGAGAATAGATATAGTTCGCAATGCTGAAATTTTACGAATATGAAAAACTTTTTCAATGCTCCTAGCTCACCCAAAGAAATTCTTGCCAAAATCCATATATCACCCTACATGTTCTTTGGAAAGATGGAAAAACGATTAAACACTCGCTTATAGCCATTTGATGATCCCTTAAAGTACTTCTATCAATGCAGAATATGAGTATGAAGTTCCTAGTCACACCCTGTAAATCTGAAATAAACTCACTGTATGACACATGAAGCAATGTGAATGATCACTTTTCCATTGAACTTCACAGTTTTCTTCAGCATAGTGCAGTAGTAAGAATTGAAAGGAATCAATAGTTATTCTCAGGAAAATGAGTAGGTAATTCTGGTTGATCAGGAAATTATTGAATTTTATGAAAGAGTGCTGTCAAATAATGAATTTTACCCAAATTCTTCCATGTTTGAAATCAGACGATACACAATTCAGAAATTAGAAGAAAATTTCCATTCAGAATGATGTAATACTTACTCCTAAACATTTATTTATAAATAATTTTCGTAATAACTTGTTGTGGTTGTTTTCCTGCCAGTTTCTAGCCCAATATGCCACGAATAATTCATCTAAGAGGTATTTATTTTCTATCGAGAAAATCTTCTAGGAGTTTCTTTTCATAATGAGGTCGCCCATCAATCATTATATAATACTTTACCGTTCCCTCAAGTCATTTCGACCGGCAAAATGAAGCATCTACAGCTCGAAAGCTTCCAACTCTTCAGCTAAGTTGATACCCAAACTTGGTGAACACTGATAAATAATGGATATTCACTGTCACAGACTCAATTTATTGGCATTCTAACACGGTTCTTACTAAGTACTTACTCAGAAATGACAAGGGGTTTATCAAATTCTCAATTTTAGAGATAAAATGTGTAAAGTTGCTTCGTTCCGTCATCAGAACATATTGAATTGAACTTTTGTAATGACGAATCATCAGTTTCAACAGTTCCCTTCCATTTTGATAAAAAACTGCTTGGTTCACATAAGACAGCAACCATACTGTATGTACAGTGTATACATTCCAACATCAAATTTTCATTTTATCAGTTGGCTACCTTAAGTTTCATCATAGATTCAATGATCTGTACTCTCCATACTGCGTTTTCTTCCAGAATTCCCATTCCATTCAAGAAAACTAAGAATTCACGACGAATGTCAATGAAAATCTTGCCATGATTACAGTCTGGGGAACCAACAACCTATTTGAATCCATTGCCAACAAAACTGAACCCTGTATTTTCTGCCAAACTCATCAGTACCTATTTCTGATTTGAAACTGGCGCCATACCATTTCCACTATGTCCACCATATGTATGCTCCAAAAGACATATGAATGATCTTTTTGACGTGTATTTTATTCGTACTTTGAATTAGTCATGAGAGAATTATTGTGAAGTTACTTCGATTTTGTAATGAAAACATCTGATGATGCGGAGGCCCCAGAAGCATAGGTACCTACTCCATATATTTATCTTAGTCTTCGAGCATTATATAATTTCATCATTCAGGGCCAGTTTGAGATATCTGAATGAGCTTATATCACAAAAAATTTCATGTGTCAAAACCCTAATACTGAAATAAGACTATTCCATACAGAGATGAATGATACATGAGTTCTGACAGAGTGAATTAGCGCGAGATCACAGTTGCCTCAGTCTCCGTCGTGGGTTTGATATTTTCTTTCAACTATGGCGAGATGAGGTTTCTACGTCATAAGAGGGTCCGTTTTCAGAAAGTACTATTATTTATGTCCAAAAATAAAACATTTCACTTAATTTTTCGATCGAGTTATGTCGTCAATCATTATTTATGTATGAAAGAATCATTACAAGTAGGAATCCAATTTGCATTTTATTTAGTATTAGTATTATTTAGTATTCGTCAATAATTAATGAAAGACACTTATGCATTCACGTCGGGACCTAAAAACTTGATTTCTTCAACAATGTTCACACAGTAATTATCTGTAGATATTTTCACATCGAAACAGCTTTTTTGACGATTATGGAATCTAATTGATTTCGTCTTATCCATATTCATACTCAGGAGGTTTCATAATCCGAAAACACCTCATTACATTCATCTAACAGAAGACATACAAACAAACCAAATACAATATGAAGAGAACAGGCCTCAAAACTGAGCTTTGAGGGACTCCAATTGTAACCTCTCGTTTTGAAGGGATAGTATGGCGTATACAGGATAGGAACAGTTATACTACAATTACTATTTCAACTTCCGAGCTACTATTTAATGACATTTGATTGGAACAGATACAGGGTCATCAGAATTTTGAATCTTGAACCGCCCTGCATTTGCTCCAATCAAATGTCAGTAGATATTGAATCAAAAGTGGAGATAGGATAGTTGAAAAATCTCGATTTTGAACACCCTATATCTCTGTAATCATTTCCGCTAGACCGCAAGTGTGATGCATCGATAGAATCAGGTCTTCAGAGAGAATCTAAATATGCAATGAGATACAGGG